TTTCTCTTCACCAGCATCCTTAAACAGGCTCTGGCATCTTTTAAACAGGTCCCAGCATCCTCCAAAAGCCCAAAGGAAGGGTCCACTTCTAATCTCTGCCAAATGCTGAGCAAGAAATGTGAGCAAGTACAAGGAGTACAAAGAAGAAAGAAAATTCTGTTGATCCAGCCAGAGACAGGCAGAACACATCACTACCCTGGGCTAATTGCATTCTGGATATGTGCACACATAACCTTTGTACATGGAGAGGGAGGCAGGTGTGCATCCACTCACGTGCAATGTGGCCAAAGTGTGCTCTCTGTAGGTGGCACTTGGACACCTTCCCCAAGTGCTCAGAAGTTCTGCTTGGAGTGCTCCTGGGACTCTCTTTGATATCCTCTGCTTACCAATATAAAACTTGCTTTGCAAGTGCTCCTTGTTAAGACAAATAAGGCAAATAAGTCAATGTGTACTGGCAAAGAGAAAACATGAGTCACTTGGACATGAGTCACTTGGACAATGTTGTTTGGGTGGTAGTTTATAACAGACCTTCAGGAAGCAGAGCTCATGAAGAAAGTGTTTAAACAGTACAGATACCTCCCCATTTACCCCAAACCGTGCACACACTAGAGCAGCTTTCTCTCTTCTAACCCAGGAGAGCTAGCAAAAGAGGGTAAAAGAAAAGAATTAATAAATAAAATAGGTTGGCACAACCAAGTCCTCAAAAAAATGCCAGGGAAACGTGTATTTTCAGCCTCTGCTCACACCTCTCAGCCATGATTGAAACATACTGCTGAGGTCTGTTTCCTCCCAGGTTAATCCATCATTTTCTATCACAACCAGCATCTCATTTTTATATTTGAGAATGATGTGAGGGAGAAATGCCAGAACCACAGAAATTTAGACATAGCCCAGATTTTCCGCTCCTGGTGGTTTCATGGGCTGCAAAATTGTTTCCTGAATGAAATAACAGAGGTTGGTGACATTGGCCATGTATGCAAATGATCGCAGTGTCCTACAGAGATTAATTGGTTCATGAATAAAGATGAGGAGCTGAGGTGTGCAGGGAGAAATCATTTATCAATTATATGCCTTGGAAAACTGAAAGATGATGCAGCCTTAACGGCTGAATGGGTTTGAAAGGGGGACTTGTAAATTGAGTTCTAATTCTGTTCTGCCACATTCATAATAAAGAGCTGTTACACTAATTGCATCCTTGTGTGGCTCATGAGCAACAGCACTCAGCTGCATCTCACAGTGAGCAACAGAGATCAGAGTTTAGTTAGATTTTAGTCATCTTCTGCCTCACGTGGGAAGGATGCTCACTGGTTACCTTTGGCCTCGTCAGTAGGGATAATGCACCAGAAAAATGGCAAGAGCCTATCAGCAATTTTCATGAGATTATTTTGCATTTGAATCTGAATTTAAAGAGCCAGTAAGGACAGCACAGACTCACTCGGCTTTTATATGCTGCTTGTGTCACACGGATGCATCAGCACGATTACCCACCCCTGGAGGGACTCTCTGATTAACTGGAAACAAGAGGATTCTGGAGGATCAAAACCATAACAGACTATGCTAATCACAAACAAGGAAAAGGATCTGAGGGATGTGGCTGTTGATAACAGCTGACCTCTGCTCCTCCTGCCCCTTCTGAGTGCTTGTTAACAGGTTTACTGTTACAGACAGCAGTAGCCTAGTGTGGGCTTTTGCACACACTGAAATACACACTCAGATCTGAGAACCTTAATGAGACTTGTTATTTAAAATCTTGCTGCTGGATACTGTGCAAGCCCCAGGATCAAAGAGGATAGCCACACTTAGATCACAGTTGCATGTAAAGGAAATCTTGTGACACTTGGGCTGCTGAAAACCAGGGGTGACACTTATGGGAGTCACTGGAGATTACTCAGGGCCATTGCTGCAACTGCTTGAGACCTGTTGTGACTGCAGTGGCTCAAGAAGTTTTTCTTTTGACTTGTTTTATCTGATGGGTTTCCAGGGTCTGTCTCTCTTTCACCAAAACGAGCAGCCTGCAGGGGCCCAGAATGATGACCAGGCACAGCCCAGCATCCCAGGGTGTGCTGAGGGGTCTTGAGCAATGACAGATACCCTGACTTAGCAGAGACATGGGTCTCTTTTGCTGCCATCATTTTGGGCACTGACATCTTAAACCACCACACAAAGATGTGCCAGAGCCTGGTATGGCTGAGATACAACACCCAGTCTCTGTCCAGGGAACACTGGTGTTACTACACATGAATGTGCAGAGGAGAGATGGCATCCAGCCAAAAGAGTGAAGACATCTCTTTAGAACTGCCTTTAAAGTGTGATTACATTTTTTTAAAGCAATATAATAATGGCATCAGAAGGCTATATATATTGCCAGTCCTAATTCCCAGATGCATAATTTTCAACAAAGAAAAATCAAGAGAACACTTTGTTAATTATCTGCTCTGAAAACTAAGACCTGCTCATCCCTCTTTAAATGAAAGCCTGTGCATCTCCCAAAGCTACCCTAAAAGTTAACACAACCCAACACAACTGAAATTGCTCCCCATTAATACAAGGCCTCTGGTCATATTTGCTATGGCAACACTTGCAAGTATCAGGTCAGCGTAGCCCATGGACTACCCAGTGGAGAAGGGACAATTAATCCAAGTGCAGCAAAATCTTTGAAAGGATTTTTGACCAAGCAGCTCTTCACCAGGGAGTGCTGACTCAGCAGAAAGGGTTGCTGGACATGATCAGTTTTGATGAATTTCCCAATCAGAGAAATAAATTAATTTGTTCAAGAAAGGAGGATTTCAGATCTTCTCAAATTCAACTAAAACCTCACCTTACAACAGTTTCTAAATTCAACTGTATTTCCTCCAGGTTTAAAAACAGACTGTAGAAATGCAAGTTAACTTTCAATAAAATAATTAAAATGCGTTAGAAAAAATAAAGCAACAGTTAAAATTCTCAAAATGAATTTTTTTTATTAATTCAATTTTTTTTAGAGTTGCCCTTCACAGTGTTTTTTTAAGACTTCATTTTTCTTCCCAGATAATCTGGGAAATACTTCCCAGGTTCTCAGAGGTCTTCAAAGGTTATTAAAAGATTTACTGCTGCAGGAAGAGTTTCCTCAAACACCTTTTTTTTCCTTCTTTTTTTGTATGAAATATTTCCTCTGCATTCCAGAAACCAAAAAGCAAGTAGGAAATCAGTAGCTTTCAAACACTGTGGGAACAGTCTCTGCAATAAACCATAGAATCTAGGAAAAGCTACCAACACTAAAAAATGTTTGTCTAAAACTTTCTTCTCAGGTAGACACCAGAAGGTGGTGCTCCCTTTTTCAACTTAACTAACACCCTAAGACATGTAGAGAGATGATCCTTTCCTTTTCTTCAATAAGATAAACCCAACTCCATCAGCTTTTCAATCTCTTCTGTTGAACCTAGCTCAGCAGATCAAATCTTTTTCATATCTGTGCATGAAACATTTCCACATGAAAGAGTGTCTGGATGAGCAAGTTTTGTCTCCTGTCTTTTATTTTTCTTTGACAGGTTCCTTTTGCCTGTGTGAGGAAAGAGCATCTGAACCACTGGTTTAAAAATCAACCCTTCTGGCAGAGTGCTGACCACTACCCTTGCTGGGAATGGCATCTGTAGCTTATCAGAACTTCCTATTTGCTTGAACAATATCTAGAAAAAATAAAATAAGAACTAAAATGTCTAGGTGAGGCATCAGTGGTTTCACTTCCCATGAGCCTTTCTTTGCCTTTCCTTTTGGTGTCTGGTTTGTGCACAACTCCAGTTTGATGATTTTCAGTGTTGGTGTATTTTCACAGAGACATTAACTCCAACATATTCACTGGGGAGCATGATTCACCTCTGTTGACTTTAGTCACCTAAAACTCAGCTGTCTGGCTTCTTAGGACAGGGCTGTCCTTCTGAAACAGTTAAAACAAAAAATAAACCCAGGGCTGTGTTTGACTTCCAAAGGCCTGGCTGCCTGCTTAGGTGGAGAATTGGCTTTCATCTGAACCACTCCAGAGCTGTTCTAGAGGAGTTCATGGATGCAATCTACTCTTCATTTCTTAACCTTAGCTCCAGGGCTTGCTCCCAGGCATTTTTTCACCTAGGCTATAGCTGTAACCATAAGCTACACCTACAGCATCAAATAATTTAGTTCCCCCAATCAAATAATTTAGTTCCCCCATTCACATCCAAGTCTTGGCTCCCTGGTGTCTCCATTACATATATATTGATCCACTCCTCAGTCCTTTTCTGGAATGAATTCCCTCTGGAAGAGGACTCAAATAATAAGTTGTCAAGTTTGGATTTGCTGTTCAAACACGGAACAGAGATGCAGATCATCTATTCTGGATATGCCAAATTCACACAGCTTTTCAGCCTGTCCTGTATGGATTACAGTGGATAGAGATATGGGAAGCTAATCTTGGGGACATTCAAAAATTAATGATAATGAGATGAAGAGTCACTTTTTCTTGAAAAGTAACCCTTATGACATCCATAATAAAAATGCATGGATGTCAAAGCACCAAAAAAACATATGTCTCACTTGCTCCTTGTTTTCTCTGCTATCAAAAGCCAGGAAAAGAAGCTTTCCTGTACAGAATTTTTCTGTTTGGACTTAACCTCATTCCCACTGCTTTGAACCAGATTCATGCTTGGCTGTGATGTCTTATAAGAAAGCTGGATGCACAGCACACTGTTGGACCTCCACAAATATTTGAGGATTACAAAAGCTTTGTGCTTGGTGTTCTTATGTCTGTTGTTCATAGCTGCAATAAAATAAAAGGCTGAGATGAAAAAGTGATTTGTCAATATGAAAATGTCCAAAATGTATTTTATCCTCTTGTACATGGACGACATCAATATGAGCAGCACCTCCCCAGAGAGCTCTGTCATATTGACTTAGCCACCAGGAGCTTGGGGTTGATGTGAGAGGCAGTATTAAATTTTAACTACTCTTTAAATAACATTTTTAAAATCAATAATGTGGGGCCTGAACCCTCGGCTTTCCTATTGCATTTGGCTTTGTTGTGGATGCCATGAAGATGAAGTTTCACCTGCTCTTTTTCACTCTTTTTATCTTGGTTCCAGAGAACCATGTCTTCACTATTCCAAGGTAAATATCTACTGGTGCTACTGGGGGGCTCTAGTGTGTGGTGTGTGAGACAAGGAAAGTATTGATGCAAAATAATTCCTAGTTGCATGAGAAAACATTTGTCAAAGGCTGACAAATATTTATTGTCCTTGTAATTGGATACGTGGTTCAATTTAACATAAAGATGGTGGGGGAAATGAAATTATTTTAGGTCTTCTTTGCATCCATAAATCCTATGTTTTTAATCATATTACAACTACTCTTTTTGGTCTAAGTGCAAATCAATTCTGTTCATTCGGTACTTCTGAATGCCAATAAAGGGCATTTTGAAGCTTAATGGGAAAAAATAATTTGCTTCATTTGCCTTAAAACAAGAGCTTAAATGAATTACTTCTTGAGGTAGAAAGAGAAACCATTTCAGAAAGTGCTAACAATCTGTTTTCTTTCCAAAGCAGCTTTTATGATTGTTTTTCCAGGCATAAATCATTTTTGAATAACCGTTTGGTATTTGCACAATGTTTCAGAAGCAGCTTTATTGTTACCTATTGATAAACTTCAGAAATGCCCTGAAACCAAATGCTATCTTAAAAAATATGAGAACATATGTCAGAGATGAAGACAGGCAAAGTGCTTTTATTTTCTGCATGTACCACTGGTTTAAAAACCTGAAATGTTTTAATAAGTAAAACAAAAAGAGTAAGTTCCTCATATAGTGATTTTAAGCAAAGCTGAACAACCAAGGATTAAATACAACCTGTCCCAGAACCAAAATATCTGCCCAAATAAAGTGTGAATTATTTCTCATATCCCTTCTGTGATTTTGTGCCACTCCGCAGACCTGTGAGAGGTGAACACCACTGAGTTCATGTATTAAAAAGAGGATCTTTCCTCTCCCTTTGTATTGCAATCATATTTTGTTGTGGATTGCTATGGAGGTGGGAGGGTTAAAGTAGGAAGTAACAAATGTGATTTAAGGTGAATTCAGTAGAACAATATTGCTCTGTGCTACTTGAAGATTTATTTATTTCATACTTAAATACAACACTGAATATCTGACTCTTAAAGAAGATTATTTCCCACTGGAAAGCAGGAGCCTAACCCCCTCAGCCCCAGTTACAAAAATGACTAAAATAATGAGATTCATCTGACTAGATGGCATTTTTACACAGCTTTGTGCAGGAACAAGTCCCCTTCACCTTTCTCTACAGCTAGTGGGGGAAAAAAAATTGTGTATTTAGAAGGTAATTCATTTCAGGTTAGCACATGCATCTAAATTAGCTCTGGTTAAGCTGACCCCTAGAGTGCCTGTTTCTTTATTAAGGCAGTGCTGAGCTCAGATGAAGATATCAAACCCATCTAAAATTAACTGAAATGTATCTTACTCACTTACAGGGTAAGATGTGAGTATTGTAGTGTGGGGATGGCAGCTGGACTTCTACCAAAAGGTAAAAGAAAAAGGGAAAAGATATGGGAAACAGGGACAGAGCCCAGTTGGACTCTGGCAAAATATTGGAAGAAGGGAATGAGTAAGGGTAATAATTAAAGCTTTTGTCTGGGTGTTTTCTACAAAAGTGGGGAGGAAGACCCATGAAAGAGAGTACAGTGCCAAATCAAAGGAGGGGGACTGAGAAGGACAACAACTACAGTTCTGGCTGTAAACAGTCACCACACTGAACAGCAGGGGCAGAATTTTGATCAGCTTACTCAGTGTATTCAGGTCCTATCACAAGAGCTAGAGAGGAATCGTAGCACCTGCTCAATACTTACCACACTTGGATGAAATATTTGTGCAACAAACAGTGGGGTAAAAGTACACATCAGCTTCCCCATTATGGCACTTTCAGGCTGTGGGAGTCATGCAGTGAAACCAGATGCAGCAGGCCTTTTTTTGGCTCCTGTGTGAAAAGACTCCCTCAGCTATGAGAAGACATCCATTTTTAAAGTAGCCTCAAACACACACTTCAGAGTGCACTTACCTAAAGAAATAGGCAAACTGCCCACCTTGCCTATCCCTGATTGTTATTTGATGTTCTGTCAAATGATGGTGGAGGCAACAATAGCGTTGGCATGCTGTTGGCTCTGCATGAGAAACTTGATTCTCATGATTGCTTGGAGCCTGGCTAAAAGGAAAGATGAATCACCTGGTTGCCAGATGCTGTCAGGTGTCTGCTTGAAATCAGTCACAGCAACAAGCTGTGACAATCATATTATGCTGCTTGAGAACCCTAGTTTTGAGAGTGCTGCCTGTTTTCTTTTCAGGACAGTCTTTGCAGACAGGGCTGGCAGGGACTTTGATTGTACCTGGTTTATACGGTGCCACCCACTCCATGTGATTAGATGGCTGAGAGCCACCCCAGCCCAGAAATGGGAAGAGGGGTCTGACATTCTCCTGAGTCTCCTTCTTCTACACACACAAATTATTTAAATTATCTATCCAATGCAATTTTTAACTACATGACTTGGACTTGCATGACACTGATGACCACAACTCAATGCAGACTGTTATTTTTTTCTTTTCAGAAAGTGAATTTCACTTCTGTCACCAACAGTGGGGTCAGGCCTGGAGTAACTGGGAAGCACTATGTCATATACAGCATGTCCAGACCATGGTTTTCCAATAGAAAGGGAATATAAGTTACTGGGCAAAGATGGGGAGAACAGTGTTGCAGACAACTGAAACGATACCAGCAGAGGGACATAATTGAGGAGACCAGAAGAACTTGACTGAAGTAGGAATACACATCTACAAAACATCATGTTTGGCTTTTGCCAATCTGTGAGGGCTTTTGGCAGACTGGGAGGGCTGATGTCTCTGCTGAATGGTGACTGAGAAACTCAGGGGACAATAGGAGAGCCATCTTCTTGTTCTCAGCTAGTTTTCAACTGTTGCTGCTACTTCTGGGGCTGGTGGCTGTGGTGCTGGTGCCAGCTCCCAGGAGCAGTCTCAGTGTTAATTTTAAATACTGGCTTATTTAAAATTTTTAATTTTAAATATTTTAAATATTTAAAAATGTAATATTGGCTACCAAAGCCCTGCACCACCTTTTCCATGGATTTTACTGACTGGCAGATGGAGAAGCTGGAACTAGATTCAGCATCTTCATTATTGGATTATCTTTGGGTTCACAGCAGCCAAGCCAGGGAAGATGAGTGAGGCCAAGCCTGCTTCTCCATTTTTGCATGAACTGGAGCTGTTCCAAGAATCTGTGCTTTACCTAAAAACCCTTGTTTTTCAGGGATGAAGTTTTGTGGGCTCTCCCACAAACTGATGAACAAGTTAAAGCTCTTCAGGACTTACTGAACACCTCTGAGGTAAATAGATTATTCTGTCTCTCTGAACTCTAGGCCAGATTTTCCCCAAAGTGCTGTAATACTACTTCTCCCTCTCAGAAGAGATTTAGCCCACTTCCATTCATTTGTTCTAATACATCAGCTCAGGAAATGCTTTGTTTTCATTTCTTACTACTTTCTGATTTACATGAGGAGACCCCTCCAAAATGTTTCAGTAATGAATTATATTGGAGCATATTTCTGCAATTGATTTTGTGTATTAAGGCACTGCAAAACTGGCAAAACACCCACACACAGTAAGTAGAAATACATTTGCTAGGGAACTTCAGCACTTTTGACCAGTGTGATCTTGACCTATATGGCTTGCGCACCTTTGAAGATCAGGACTGGATTTTTGTGGTATTATTTTAAAGGTAGAATCTAGAAGAAAAAAGTATCTTAAATAATACTTTTGTATTATTATTACTTCTATCTTTCATTAGATAAAGGAGTGTTTAATTAAATTGAGACATCTCTTCCTCTTCACTTGCCCAATCACAGCCTCCCAGTTTGAAATCAACACTACAACAAAGGTGTAACCATTCCCTCAATCAACATCATTTACAGGATGACTGAGGATAGTTTCATATGACAGAGCTTTTAAAGGTGTCTATGCCCAGTCTTTCTCTGTCCTTCTTGGCTTTTATTCATTTTAAGCCCACCCCAAAATCCTTCTGCTGTCCCTACAAGCATCTTTTAATCCTTCCCTTAAATTCTCAGAAACATTTTGATAACCTTTCTTCCTCTCTTCCACCTTCACAAGTCACGTATACATCTCTTTTTCTGTACCAATATAAACCTCTGCTCCTCCATTTATTTTTTTTTTACTACTGTAATTCTTCACTTTCTTGTACACAGGAGAAGAAGTCAGGAAGAAGAACTGCAGCACGTTCAATGCAGAGAGGGCTTGTGGTGGTTTCTTCCAAGCCATTTATGGGAATATGCAAACCAAATATTTTTCATGGGTTATAAATGGAACAATTTATTTCCATGAGTATAAATTGGGCAAGCTATAAGAAAAAAATTAGAATGGGAATAGCAAATAGGAAAGGGAAATGGGAAGGGGAAGGGTAGACACAAACAGTATGTCCCAACCAATGTTAATAGTTACCATTTATTATTCAAACAATATTCCTTGTGCAACTGAACCATAAAGAAAAAAAATAAACCCTATTGTCTGGGTCTGTCATGCTGTATGGTGCCCAAAAAATGCATCCAAGAATTATGTTTTTTTCACACTCTAAATTGAAGCCTAATTTACTGCTGTCACCCTTAGATCTTTTTGTATTATTGGTTCTGAAGTTTCAGTCTTTTATTGAATATGTTGGCTTCTGATTGTATTATTGTAAAATATTTAATTTTACCAAGAACAATCTAATTTTCTTACTTTTCTCCAATTTCTAATCTCTGTATTGCTTCTTCAATTTGACTTTTATTCAAACCCCTTCTGGCACTTATTTCCTCCGTGATCAAAGTCATCAGAGAATACAATAACTACAAAGACTGGTCTGATCTTCATTAATTCTCCAAATACCCTCAGGGAAAATAACTCTCAGCAGACTTGAAAATATGTAACATAATAACCAGCTAAATATATCTATTATACTAGAAATACTATCTCAGAAAAGGTTATGTCCTTGTCTTTGTTCTTGATTTATGAATTTCTGTGCAGAAGTCATTATAAACCTTTCTTAAATACACACATTTCATTTCCAGAAGTAGCAGAATGCTACACATCACAAGGAACATTAAACTGCTTGTTGCAAGCAGTCTCTCATATTGAAAACATATGCTTTGATTATTTTCAAAATGCTTATTAAATGTTAGCAAGAATATTTTTTCTTTCCTCAGGAAAAAAAAAATAAAATGTTTTTGGAAACTTTGTAGGTCATTCTCTGGCAACCTGTTGTGGTTGAAAACATCAAGAAGGACAGAGAAGTCCATTTCTATGTCAGGGCATCCAACATAAATAGCATAAAAGCTCAGTTAAGGCAACTGACCATCCAACACAAGTATGTATTTTTTATTTGTTGTCATGAATGATTCTGTAAAATTGTTTGTCATTTATTTAACAGGAGGTTGTGCTCTTCCTTTGTTATTCAGAGTCTTGATGGGAGATGTTCAAGGAATTATTGAAAAACAGACTGTCAATGACACAATCAATGCTCGCGGATCTTCCTCATACTATGAAAACTACCACTCAATGAAAGAAGTAAGCTATTTATGTTGTGAACATCTGTAGATGCAAAGGGTGAAATTTGTCTCATTAGTTGAGAATGGAGATAAAGGGAAAGAAATCACCAGCAATAATTACCACTGTATTGCTCAACAATTAAGAGTTCTATTTATTGTAATGCTTTCACAGAGATAGAAAGAAGCACCAGACAAAATCTCTCATGTATTCCCTCAAACTGTCATTCAAAGACAGTGAATACAGAAGCAAAATGAAGTCACAAAACAAACAGGCAAATATTTAAAACATTCAATCAATAACAATGTAAACAGATAGAAATAAACAGGAATTTCTGGGCTACATTTGGACTGTGTTGTGATTGTATCTTACTGTTGGTTTTCACAAAAAATTAGTCAGGCAAGTGGTAGGTGAGTCAAATTACTAGTTTTTCTTTACCATAGATAAAAATTTTGGGAGGTAGAATGAATTTAAGTCTAGAACACTTCCAGGGATGAAGGAAAATAGTAGAGAGAAGATCTACTTACTAACTTCATCCTTGCAGATATATCGTTGGATGGAGGAAGTAGTGAAAGTCCACTCTGATCTCCTCCAGAAAATATATATTGGATCATCCTATGAAAAGCGACCGCTTTATGTTCTGAAGGTACGCCTGTGACATACTGCAAAAAACTTCCCAAGTACTACTATAAGCAAATGATGGGGTTTGGCCAGCATGTTTCCTTGAATCTATACCTACATTCATATTTTTTGTGTTTTTTAGAAGTTTCCTAATATGTTCTAGTAAGATGCATTACCATTGCAAATGTATTTCACCAGATTAGGTTCTTTTCTGGGTCACAAGGAAGTTACCACATCTAGGCCATCATGCAAAGGCATGAAATACTGGCACAGTGGATACCCTCCTCTGTTGACAAAGCCAATCTAGTTTGTTGCCCTGCATAGCTGATGGCACACTCACCTGACCTCAGGTCTTGCTGTAGTGTTGGGGCCCGTGTTGGGACTTTGCAAGCAACCTGAATGTGGCTCTCTGACTGTACGCAAACCTAACCAATGGCTGCATCCTGGCTCAGGATCAGTCTGAGCTCTCCTTACAAGACAGGTGCTGCTTCTTCTTCTGTCTTGGTTACCTTTTCTCTTCCGCTTTTTATGTGGTACCCTTTATGACAGTGACATTTGAATGCAATCTGTCTTTTGTCAGATTTCTAAAAGCACGGAAAAATCAAAAAATGCCATATGGATTGACTGTGGTATCCACGCTAGAGAATGGATTTCTCCTGCTTTTTGCCTGTGGTTCATAGGTCATGTGAGTACATAATCACATCTGATTACAGTTTTCAAAGCAAAGCAAAAAATCTTGATGCCCTTTACCTTAGTCCAATTGCATTCTAGGATACATAAAGCCTTAATCCATTTACTCCCACAACACCAACACACAGTATTTGTGTCTAAGCTATAAGCATAGCAGTGTGTGTGTGTGTGTGCATGTCAGTAGATAACGGTATGTATGTGTGAGAAAAACATAAAGTCATTGGGAGTGAATGCAAATGGCTCTGAGTCACACAGAACATGGTGATTTGTGTCCATATTACTGCAACTGGCACTGCCTGGAGCAGGTCAGAAGACACACAGGGTGAGCTCAAACTGTCCTACAACAACCCTTGGCTCTTCATGTCTGCTCCAGACATGGCACAGCTCCACACCAGCAATCCACTGGCTGTGATGCATCACCTGCTCCTCCTGACTCTATGTTTTTCATTTGTGCTCCTGCTCTTCTTTTTCTGGATCTGCAGAGAATAAAGCCACATAAGCCACCTTCTTCTGAAGATATTATCCCTGCTAGTGACACACTCATGTCAGACCTCCTGAACATGATCAACAACATCCAGCTGTAGTACCAGCTCATGGAAACTAGAAAATCACTGATGGGTTGAGCCTATAGATTAATGACTGATGGGATTGGCTTAGATTAACCTGCCTTGATGTGTGGCCACAGACAAATAGACACATCTATCTTTAGCCTCTTTATTATCTGCACTGCCCAGGAGAGGGAAGAAAGGTGCACAAAAAGAAAAACATCCAGTTTACAATTGGATTTTAAAATACATTGCCTTGGTCTTTTTGAACTTACAGCATCTCTGCTCAACTCCTTATGCTGAGCTGCTGACCCAGTCCCTTGTATGGGACCAGGAAAAGGTTTCTGAGGCCTTTCTGGCCCAGATGAGGTTTCCCATCTTGCTCAGTTAATGTTCTGAGATATTATTTATCATTATTTTTTCATAAAAGCAAAGTTCACAGTAAAAATAAACTAGATGACACTGAGACTTCAAAGTCACCAATACTGTAGTCAGAGAAACAACATAAATGAGTCCTTGAAATGTGAATTATGATTTTGCCATGATGGAACTAAATGATGTGGATGATGATGATGATAATAACAATGGAAAAATAATAAATGTATTTCTTTTTGTCATCAGTCACATATATAAAATCTCAATGCCTAAAACATTTGAAAGGATAATGCAGGAGTTAGGGACAGATACAGCTGAATGTACCTTGTGACCCACTGATAATCCCAGCTTTCAAGGTTCCACTGGATAGAAATGCATTTCCCCTTTTCATGCTGCTCCAAATAATTACCAGCTGTGCTGTCATTTTGCCAGTGACATGTCCCTGCAGCATTTTTCAGAAGTAACAGGCTGAACATTTAGGTTTTCCATTCTTTTGATCTAATTTACGTGGTTTAAATTCAAATTTTGTTTCTATATCTCTTCATGAAGCAACATTTTAAAATCTGACATTAATCCACATCTGCACACATACACTAAAATCATCAGCTGTCCCTAGTAAATCCTAGGCATTCTTTATAATGGGTCCACTTTTTGTAATTTAATTTTGTCGTTAAGATTATAGAAAGATTGACATTTCTCATTTAGTCAAAGGAAGTCCATTGCCTGAGGATAGCTAGGAAGGATTTAAAATGAAAGAATGTGATCTAAGTAAGGCATAAAGAAAAAAAGGATGATGAAGGACTTAGTCTACTCTAATAGGAACAAACCCACTTATCTAGATTAAAATTTATTTCTTTGTCACGGACCAACAACCAGGTTCGGTATCACTAAAGCCTTCAAAATAAGCTGTGAGGCAAAATTAGCAATGTAGATCTTACTGACTCTTGTCATACCGTTGCATTAAACTCACAATACAACCAGAATAAATAATGTTATGTACGGTAGCCATTTGAAATATTACTTGTTATTTTGGAGCTTGCTGTATTTTGGGCAGGAGGGAGGGTTTCTATTACTTACACAGGCAGCAAAACCTCAAACCTTCCTATTAACAGACTTCATTTCTATCTCATGACCACCCACTAACACTAAAGGACTGAAGTGTATCTGACTGACTGCTTCAATTTCTCCCTGTGGCACTTCTGAGCAGAGAGGTACATTGCTATTTAACCATTTCCATGATGTGATGAGCTTTATCAGACTCAGGTAGACTGCTCTGGTAATTGCACAATTATTTTACACATACCACCAGGTACCTTTGTAGGAAGGTAAGAAAAATAACAATTACAAATGCTTTTAATATGTTTTCCCTGTGCTTTATAGGTAATCCACGTGCGTGAGAGAGATCAGATCATGACAACCCTTCTGGAGCACTTTGATTTCTACATCATGCCCGTGATAAACGTGGATGGCTATGAGTACACATGGAGCCACCCCTCTGTATGTAGACCTTTTTTGACAGGTTGTGGAAGGTACAGATTTGCTATTTATGGGAATTATCACCGTGCATGGCTAGGGCATAGTTTTCATCCTGGAACTGCACACCCCAAACTCTTCTGTGCTTGGAATTTCTGCATCTTTGCCACAGAAAGTTGGGATTTGTGCTCCTAAACTCACATACTTGGTCAAACTATGTCTTCTTCCCTCCTTCCTTGGCCCAAATTCCATTGAAATCAGAATGTGATCACTTCTGATCCTACCCAACATTTCCTTTTATCACCCAGCCTTGCTGGCAAGCAGTTTGTGGTTTTGGAATCTTCCTTGGAATCTTCCAGCACAGGACAGTAGAGGCACAAGTGGGAAGGCACATTTATCTAACCAGTGAGGTGGTGCATTGACTTTTTCAGCATTTCTCCCTGAACACAACCTGTGTGTCTCTTTCCATAGAATCGCCTGTGGAGAAAAAGCCGCTCATCGCATGGTAACAGCAAGTGCATTGGTACTGACATGAACAGGAATTTTGATGCACACTGGTGTGGTACGACATTATTTTCTTCCTATTGTACACCTGCCTCACTTTTGGTCTTTAAATTTTTTTATTTTGAAAATATTTTCATCTACTGTTCCACAAAGTTAATACAAAGACAAATGCAGCTGAGTATCTGTTATGAACTAGTGAAAACTTTCCCAGCTTTAGATAATTCTTTTTGGGACTCTGAAATTTTCATCCCCAGATGACACACCATGGAATAACCTCTTCCCAGCACAACAGAGCCCCTTACATCACACCATGACACACCTAGGGGAGGCTGTTGGTGGGAAGAAAGAAGGAAAGAGAGAAGAGGTAGCCCTTGCCATGTCACCCAAGGCCTGTTGCACTATCCAGCTGAGTGTACAGCTTCCTTCCATAATGCCTAGGTGATCAATATTTCTTAGCCCTTAGTGATTCCTTTGAAGACTACATCTAATTTAATTACTGCAGGCACTTTGGTACTTGACAAGATTTTTTTCATAGTCTGCAGCATAGCTGCCCTAAAATATTGTTCTATAGATCAGATGTGACTTCACTCAGTGCTTAAAGTAAAGTCCTATATGGATTTCACTCATTCTAGCCCATTGTTAAACCATCCATGACTATTATATCAAGAAAAACATGATTTTTTTTCCCTTAAAGATCCTGACTGCTTCCAGAAAGTTATTTGATCTTATTCTGAAGACAGAAGTGGTGAATCCTATTTGTCTTCTTGATAATTTGTTCCACCATCAATTTTTCTTAAAAATTTTCATTTTGATTTGTTTTCTCAGCTTCCCATTGGGAGTTTGCTTTCCCACAAGATTAAATAAATGATCATGTGGAATTGCCTCTTTCCTGTAGTACTTCTAGATTTTAAGATGTGATCTCAAAATCATGCGATGATTTTAAATGAAGCATATTCATCCTCTCTAAGAGTTTTCATCCAGTCTTTGAATACTTTTTTTCCACATCTTCTCCTTGACTACTTGTAAGAGCATAATAGGTGAGAAATCCTGGTGGGCTTGCAGAGATTTCTACAAGCATGTGAGTTCTTTCCATAGCATGGTGGAATCCATGATTTCTTGTGTACTAGCATCATACTCTGCTCTTTCATTTCATACTCTTGCATTTTTCATGAACAGAAATGCAGAAGGGAAGAAGGAGTAAAACTGTGAACTTTTTTGTTTGGTTAAAGGTCCAGGAGCATCTCACTCTGAATGCCAGGAGATTTACTGTGGACCCTACCCAGAGTCTGAGCCTGAAGTGAAAGCAGTGGCTCGCTTTGTCAGAGACCACAAAGACACCATTAAAGCCTACATAACCATGCACTCCTACTCCCAGATGGTGTTGTTTCCATATTCTTACACTATGAACAAAAGCAAAGACCATGAGGAGCTGGTAAGTCTTCCCACCTCCTGAAGTTTCACACTAATTTCAGAACTATTCACCCAGCTTTGTTAGCCTTGTAATGAGGGAGTCACTGTGCTGTAAGGATCAAGAATCAGGAAATGGAATTTTTCTTGATGTTCTTAACAACTGAAAAAGTCTGGGCTGGTCTAGTAGTGTGTAAGTCAGCAAGCTGCTTCTGAAAGCTACAGAAAAATGAAAATACTTATTCCAGATTGATTATACATCAAAAATACCTAATATATTGAAGCTGCTGCTAGAAGAGCAGAGTCCTCTTGTTCTGAACATCTTGAAAAAATATATACATGCAAATTCTTCATTATGTTGTATGGTTTGTATAAACTCTGAAATTAATGGGATGTGTGACTCTCAAAACATCTTTTACATACCTAAGCAATGAAGTATTCTGATGGACACTTGCTACTTTTATTAAGGCTTTTTCTAGGGAGACCTATTTAAAATTGTCTTAGTGGTAAGATGGAAAATATATCCTGCATATGTAGAATTTTACTTCCTTGATGAAATGACAGTACAAACTCTAACTGAAAACAGCAGAGTTCAAAACAGAACAGTTACTCTTCCCCTGTAAAGAAGAGAGAGGTGCACTGATTCTGGGCATTCTACTCTTCTTCATGGCTTAAGAGTAGGGTTACTCTCAAATTATTTTCCTGCTGTATTTGTCAATATTACTTAAAAGAAGAGTGACTTAAATACCGTGGCAGAAAAGAAAAAATATGAGATGAATGAGAAAAAATAGTTTCACAACAGTTTACTGCCAGAAGCGGGGATAAAGTTCCATCTATCCTTCTTACCTGTCTACAGCAGAAATGCAATCTGTAGCATGGACATACACTGAAAACTTTTACCACATTCAGTGGGTTTTCTAAAACCATTTATATGACTATTTAACTAATTTGAAATCCTGAGCACACTGTAAGTAAATTCTAACTGCGTACATATTACCTATTATCACAAGGCCTTAAAGGTAATAATGTTTTGTTTAATTTCAGGAAAGCCTGGCACAGAAAGCAGCTAAAGCTATAAAGAGGACGACTTGGAAAACTTACAGACCTGGTGCTGGTGCACAAACAATCTGTAAGTATGACTTTACTGCAGTGAAAGGCAGGACAGTATATCTTTGCCAGCATCAGAAGACAGCTTTTGAACAGAAAAGGTTCTGGTTTCAGACAATTTTCTATTTTCCCTTCCTCATACAGATTTAGCTCCTGGAGGGTCTGACGACTGGGCTTACGATCTTGGCATTAAATATTCTTTTACCTTTGAGCTTCGTGACACAGGAACTTACGGATTTTTGCTTCCTTCTCGAGAAATCAAGCCAACTTCCTTAGAAGCACTTTCTGCTGTCAAAGAGATAGCTCAACACGTTCTACAAAATTTGTGATGTTGAATATAATTTATTCCAGCATGACTGCAATTAGCTATTTACAAAAATGTAATAAAAAAAATCTTGCTCCTTTATTAAAATTCTTTCTACATAGGCAAAACCCCAGAATGACTGCACCCCATGTATTCTAGAACACATCCACTTTTTTCAGCCAAACTTATAGATCTACAATGGTAGCTCACTGCACAGGTATAATCGCGAGAGCACAGTGTAAGGGGAAAAAAGCACACATGTCCCACGATGGTGAGCTGAAAGTGTCTCTGACTGACACAGGGCACACTGGGCAGACTCCATCCATAGGAGAGATTCCGCCATTTAGGTCACTTGTGTTATTAGAGGATTTTGTTACAAGAGCACAACCCCACTTCTCCTGTCCGATGCGAAGGAGGAAGGGTGTTCGCAGCAAGGCGAGGACACACAGGTGGCCAAACCACCGAGCGGCAGCTCCCCACAGGCTGCTCCACTACAATCAGCCAAGTCCACCCTGCAGCCAAGGGATTTTTGCAGCACAGCACTGGCCTGAAGACTCTGTAAGACCTTTGTAAGGTGACAGGACAAGGGGCGATGCTTTTAAACCAAAATTGGGCAGGTTTAGATTGAGAAAGGTTTTATTTACAATGAGGGTGGTGTGGCGCTGGCATAGGTTGCCCAGAGAGGTGGTGGATGCCCCATCCCTGGAAACATTTATAGACGGGTTGGATGGGGCTCTGAGCAAGCTGTTCTAGCTGAAGATCATGGAAACACAGATTCAGTGAGGTTGGAAAAGACCTCTGGGATCACTGAGTCCAAGATAGAATCCAACACCACCCTGTCAATCAGACCAGGGCACTGAGTGTCACCTACAGTATTTCCTTTAACAAATTTCCTTTAAAGTATTTCGTTTAAAACTTATAAGTTTTCAGCTACAGAGACTCCACCACCTCCCTAGACATCCATTTCAATGTTTAATCATCGTTTTTTGTCTGGCATTTCTTCCAGGTGTTCAACTTGAACTTCCATTAGCGCAGCTTAATACTCGGTCTTCTCGTCCGAGCAGTCTCGTCCTGTTACTTGCTGCCAGGGAGAAGTGACCGCTCCCACCAGACTAAATCTCCTTTCAGGTGGCCGTAGGGAGCGATAAACTCGCCCCTCAGCCTCCTCCAGGCGACACGTCCCCAGCCCCTCCACCCACTCCTCAGCGCACTCCGGCTCCAGAGCCTCCTCCGGCCCCATTGCCCCGCCCCCCCAAGATGGCGGCGCTGCCGCTTCCGACCTTCCCGCCACCGCCCTCCCAACTGCGACGTCATCGCCGTCGTCATCGTCGTCATCATCGGCGGCGGCGCGGGCGGCGCGAGGNGGCTCACGGGGGGCTCCCGGGGGAGGGGTGGGGGGAACGCCCGCAGGCGCCGTCGCGGTGCGGGCCCCGGGTGCCGTTCCGTCCGTCGGTGGTCGTGCTGCAGTCTGCTTCCCTTATACTCGGATATTCCCTGTTCGTGGGGTTTTTTTGGTTGGATTTTGGTTTTGTTTGGGTTTTTTTTTTTCTTCCGCTTCTGTAGTGCTCTTCTCCCACTTTCCGGCAGTAAAATAGTTTCTGCTTTATGTGCTTGAGAGGGGCTACTAATTTTGCTTGTGTAAATTCACTCATTACCATTCCTTCAGGTAGTGGCTACAGCTAACCCCCATCCCTTCCAGAACTTAGCCGGGCACGTTGGGTTAGTGTGTTTTGGGTGGTCTGCTTAGGGCCTCGCCTTTGACATCTCGATGGATTCGCACTCCACCGTTGATTTCTTGTCAACCTTCTGCAAGACTGGAGATCAGGTGTTTGGCTCTTAGTGGGTTAGCAGCCAGCGCTTTGAGGGGTCTTGGGGTGGTGATGAAACACTCACAGTTCCTCTGTGCAGAGGGAGTGGACAGACTCAGCCAATGTACCTGAACACTAAAGAAGTGTGACTTTATGTGGCTGTGCCCGAGATACGCACCCTGCTTCTCAGCATGTTGGCTGAGAGTGACGGCACGCTAATGTGCTGATCCAGCTCACAGATTGGAGGTAATGTGTATCCAGCTTGCTGGATACTGAGGCAGAGTGACCTCGGACCTGTCCATGCCAGTCTGCACAGACTGTCCCTTAGTCTGGCATAACATCTTCTTTGAGTATGAAGACTTGGTTAGACAAGGCATGGAATGCTCCGTACTTCCTGAGCCCTGATGTTTTTATTCTCCTGTAGAAAGCCAACCATGACTTTATTCTTGTGCATAATTAGCAGTTGCTTATTGCTACTAATGGAGAAATATCATATGTGAAATTAGAGGGGTAGGTTCAAGTTACTGTGGTGATGGGTTACAAACAAGAAGTTTTAAAATTTGGATTAATTTCTAGTTTTGTGTTAGGCTCTGTGTGAGTATTTGACTGCTCTTTTTGAAAGTTCATTATGAATGCATTTTACCTTTTTTAGTAATATTTTTAGGTAGTAAACCCGCGGAGCTTCTTCAAATATCTCTATTTCATTAGCAATGTGACATGGAAGTGTTAACATTTTAATAGGACCCAAATATTTTCAGGTAAAAGCTCTTCATTTTAAAAAGTGCAGGGAACCATTCTTTAAGCTGTTATTTAGTTTTCAACATGCATTTAGGTTATCAAGGAGTGTTAATAATGAGTTTGTATATGAACTTCTGTAGGACTTGAAGTAATTTTGCTTGTTATTTGAAATGGCATATTATTTATCTCTTCAAAGGTAGGATTTTCTGAAGTGATGTTATGCTTAGCTTGTGTGTGGTGTGTGCATGTGCAGACATTGACATGCTTATGAGTGATGTCTTGGACTTCCTAAAGAGATTTTTATCTCCTTAAATGTTTTCTTGTTTTTGAACTTTTCTTTTGCTCTGTTACATCTCAGTTTCAAGTTCTCCTGTACAATCCTTCAGGATTTGTTTTTTCAGGGGGTTGGGTTAGGTTTTACTAGCAGAAAACCAGGCATTTCAGCTATCTCTTCATTATGACTTTTGTAGTATCACACTGATTTTGAAGAAAAATGTTAAGCATGCTTTACACCAAGATATAGGAATACTGGTAATAAAAAGTAAGAATTTCAGTGAATGCTGTGTCATCATAACATGCCTCATTGATTTCAGTTCATTGGTCAGTGTTCACTAGGTGCACTCGCTTCTCTCAAGTCTGTCACTTATTAGATGATTTATGTACATAACGCTCTGTGATATGTTCTTCTTCAAATGGTAGTGTAATTAATGTCATTAACAGATTGTCACTCACCCTGAGAAAGTTAATTCATTTTAATAATAACATAGATGCATCTGCAAATGAGTTATCCTAGTGTCACAGTATTTCTAATTTATTATAAATGTTGTCATAGATCTTATTTATGCATGGAAATGTGATAAATTGCAGTTAAAATTTTAGGTAGAGAATTTATTTTAGGAGGATAAAGTTAACTTTGCTTAGTTCCAGAAACTTCATTCTGTTTCAGAAGTAGCAGAAAGTTCAGTGCCCCTAAGTAGAGTCAGCACTGCAATGTCACATACCTGAAATAGAGAAGTGCGTAATGTTCTACATAGAAAATTTTTATTTTTTTTTTTTTTTTATAAGCTGGTAGGAATTATTTGAAATGTTGAGAGTGCTTAAGGCTCAGTCCACACTGGTACTCACAGCTGTCTAATCCCACATTTCTGATAAGGAGATGGTAATTAAGAGGCACAGACATCTGATGGAAAGTCACTGCACTGGCCATCAGTGTGGGAATGATAGCAGGACTGTGATCATCAGTGGTAAAACAGCAGAAGGTGAAAATGTTTCAGAAGGCGAATCTTTATGGGATGTTCCATATAAATTGTTCTTGGTTGTCCATTAATGTGCAATCTGAGAAATTTGGAAATTAAACATGTAATTTTTTCCCTTTCAAACAGTAAACAGTACTTTTTTATGAGCGAGTTACCTTTTCAGAAACACAAAACCTGTCCGTTATCCATCTGAGGTTTTCAATACTGTTTTAATAGTCTCTTTATTTTTCCAACTCACTTGGTCCTCAAAGAATGAAAATGGGACTGAGTGCATTTTTGAGACACAGTCTCTCAAATGCAATGTTTGACAAAATGAAATTCCACAGTTTGCCTCAGAATGATGTGTCTGGACTGTAATCCTGCAGCCTTTGATAACATCTATATTCACTTAGCAGTGGAATGTCTTGCAGGTCTTGTTACATGAGTGATGCCCTCGTGTTAATAGGTGCATACAGAAAGTAATATGCTGTGCACTCACAGCATGTGGGGTGTGTTTGTTTCCTAAGAGTAATCTATCAGGAAATATCTCTTCTGTTAATAAAGGACCTGTTGTTAATTGCAAACTGGTAGATACGGGCCAGACTATGAGGATAGAATTCACAGATTGCTACAAGAAATAGCCTGGGGTTTTGTTTCTCATTTTAAGTTGCTGTTTTGGGTTTTTTAAATAGGGGGTTTGACAAACCTTAGAAGATTCATGTTTGAATGGTATTCTTAATTTCCTTATGCCAAAATACAGGGAAAAAACGTGGTTGGAATTAAATTATCTTTTCAGTTATGATGATGTTGCCCCCTTCATCCTCTCCATGTTTATGGCAATCCCTTTAAGCCTAGTCATCATCATAACTTCCTATACAAGTTAATTCCAAAAAGGCACTAAATGCTGTGAAAAAATTAACATTTAAAATGAAAGTTTTGCCTCTGTTTCTTTGAAAATAAAAATACATTGGAATTGAGGCAAATCAATGTGATTTTTCTGTATGCTGCTACAATATCAGTGTGTACTGTACTTGCATATTAGATAGACTCATCTGTCCTTCATGTGTTGAGCCTTCTGCCTATGCCATTGCCAGTGTCGTTTATCTAACCCTTTTTTTTTCAGATATGGCTCTTTTAACTGTAAATATTTAATCCAAATTAGGCATTTATTATATGATTGTCTTATTAAAAATGCTTCTGCATGTGTCAGTTGATTTTTATATCTTCTGTATAAAGGGTGTGACTGCGTGGAACTGTAGAAATTCAGTAGTTTTTTTTCTTAAATTCTGTGAGAATCCTGAAATGGAAGGGTGCTCAGCTAGGTGAGATATGGTATTGTTTTGCTTTCTAACTTTAATGGTTTATCCTGTCAGACTTTTTAACTATTGCTGCACATTGAGCTGTCCACAATGACTCCTAATTATTTTTCTCAGAAGACTGGACTAATTTGGTTTCATCAAATATTTAAACAGAATCATTTCTCCTTCTGTGCGTTGCATTATGTTTATTTGCATTTCATCTGCTGTTGTATTACTCAATTCTCTAACTCAATTAGATCTTTCTGGAAATCTCTATTCTCCACAGTTCTTACTAACCCAAATAATTTCATACTACTGGAAATTCTAATGTTTGACTGTCTGCTTACACTAATTGATGTTAACCATTGCTTTTAATGTTTGGTATACACCATATGGTTAACTTCTACCTTCCCTGAACATCTTGGTTCATGTCTTGATTATCTGAACCTTATTTATGAGATAAAATTCTTCAGATAATCAGAGGCTTGGAGAAGGAGTCAGTAGAGCAGAGGTCTACTGAGAAATTTCAAATACACAGTGTAAGCTTGCTTTCTTCCATTGTTTATAAAGGAGCTGAAGTGCTTCATGTGAGCGTCAGCACAGCATTTTGTTTGTAGAAATTGAACAGGTGTCAGACTCCTAGGGAATTCTTGTGGTGGAAATAACTGTAGGGTTCAGATAATGAAGTGTCCACGTTTATACACCATAATACTTTGTTTCTGTGAAATGTAACCTTACCATATGGATACTGTGGGAACATATTGCTGATCAGATGATGAAAATGTGTATCAATCCTCTCTGGTGGATGTTAGTTTAAAATGTGTATTATTCTGGCTTTATGGATGAACTTTGTCATTTGTAACCTGTTTGTGTATGAGATACTTTAAGTGTGTGTGTGTGTGTGTTCTAAATGCAGTGACATGTGAGCAGAAGAGACAACAGCAGAAGGTTAGGAGATTAGTGTTTGGCTAATCATGATCTATTGATTAATGAGGGTGATGGCACATTGCAGTACAACAGAGGTGTTTTTTTGAGCTGTATATAATTTGTCAAGCACCTGGCAGATGTTCCCGAATTGATTTTATTTTTGTGTAGATCAAGTAGAATGTAAAGAATGGA